AAAAATTATTCAAGTGAGTTCACTTTTTCATAATCCAAACTGTATTAGATTTCTCTATATGCTTGTTATGTACTTTAATAAATGTGTATTTTTTAAACACATGCAGCAATTATGAGAACTTAATAAAAATTCATCTTGAAATTTTTTCCTTTCATTAGTAAACAGTAAGCACTAGATTATACTTTCTAATATTTTACACAGACATACATAACTCAGATACAACTGATGATTCACTCTGGAGCCACCATTCCCCAGAAGCTCGTGCCAAATTATCTACAAATGAAATATTTTCCATTTGAGAGTCCCTACCAAAATCTGCAAGAACCTAAAATAAAGGCAAATATTTCAGAAATACAGTTAAAAAAAAAAATCTTACCAAGACTGCAGAGGGCTTTTGCGCTGACCTTCAGACATCAACATATGAATGTCAAGTTTACAGTGTCCTCCGATTTCCCCACTCTGGAAAAAATCTTCCTTAAATCTGGTGGAAAACAAAAAATTAAGTTCAGAAATTTTTTTTCATGACTCAAGCACATAAGTTGTCACTGAAGGAGTTTACCAATTTCCTAAATCAGTTTTTCATTAGAAGGTAACTGTTTATAATAGACTACTTCAAAAATATACAGAAGTAGCAGAATGGTACAAGGAATCTGATGTACCCATAACCTAGTTTCATAATGATCAACTGGTTAACAGCCAATGTGGCCAATGTGGATCCCACCCATTACCCAACCTCATCACCACAATATTAGGAGGCAAATCAAGGCATATCTCTGGACCTGAAAATATTTCCGTTTCCACTAGATTTTAACATCAATCACTGAAGTACCTGTCGTGGTTTCTCTTGATGTTTCTTAAATCAAGGTAGAGATTGGTTGCTCTGCAGTACTGAAGGTAACGGGAACACACAAGACTTGAGTCACTCTGAAATAAGGTTGAGAAGAAAGAAAAAATAACTTTGTGTATTAACACTTTGAGGACACATCCGGACTTGCAAGACATCATGTTGACAGCATGCTCTCTTCGGGTTCCAACCACACAATGTGATGAAGGCTTCCCAGTGACTGCTTCTGCTGAAGGATTCTTCTCTCCAGCAGACCTTGGCCAAGCATACTTTTGCCAATTTACACACTTTCAAGTTACTTTAAAGAGCCAAGAGGGGCATTTGTGGTTCATTTCATCGTCTTGGAAAACAAACAAACAGCATTCAGAACTCTCGCTAGCCCCACAGCCATGAGAAAAAGCACCTTCCAAAGAGGAGACAAAGCAAACGAGGAAGAATGCGCACATAAAAGACATTAATATGCAAGACAGGACAATTTTCCAATTTGAGTAAGTACTTTCTCCAAATCTTAACACTTGTGGGAGTCTCTCTCAACAGTAACACGAGAGGGTTGAGAAACACTCTCCGTACACTTCCTAAATCACTGACGTAAAGGATGTCTAGGACTAACGTACGAACGTCAGCGGCTGCTGTAAAGGACGTCAAGAACTGACATAAAGGACATCTAGTACCGTCGTAAAGGACGCCTGGGACTGACGTAACGGACGACCCAAACTGACGTAACGTAAGACTGCGATTGACGTAAATGACGTCAGCCGCTAACGTAAAGGACGTCTGGGACTGACATAACGGGCCGGGACTGACGTAAAAGACGATCGGGACTGGCGTAAAGGATGTCCAGGACTGGCGTAAAGGACGTCAAGGACTGACGTAAAGTGTTTCTAAATCACTGATGTAAAAGAGTTGAGTCAACCAGCGGAGCTTGTCTCTACTTCCACCAATCTGGGTTATGGTAAGAGAGGGATAGCCTCAGAAACCTTTACCTGCTCTGGACTGTATTTATAAATTTAAGTGCCATTTTGTTGTTTTTCCCATAACACCCGGTGACCCTTCATGGCCATTAATCTTGAGCCACGTGGTGTCTGGGAATCTGCAGTTGGTAAGGGGATCACAGTCTGATAGCACGAAACATACCAAAGCAGATCTTGGCCAGGAAAGCATTCTACAAACCACTTTGGAAGAGATGTGCAAGGTGGTGTTATGGCTTTTCCCTGCCCTTTCATTAGACTCCAGTCAAACTATAAAGCAACGTCTTTTAAAGACACTCGCAGCAGTGCAGGTTAATGCCATGCCTCCCACCTTCCGGTTCAGCTGCCTGGCTAGAATCACTTAAAGTTCTACTATGTGACACCCCCCCCCCCAAAAAGCGCTATAGAACACAAAGTCAGTTTTTAAGTGCAAGCAAATTAAAGTCTTTTTTTTCTTTCTTTCTTTTTTTTTTTGTTTCCTAGATTGCCTGGAGATGACAGAGACCCCTGACATGTCAGCCGCTTGGGCGAGGTTTAGGAACACCGGGTTAGAGAGGCATGGACCTTAATCATAAATGCTTACAACTCTCTAGACCTTTAAAACGATCACTGAGCCCTTTGCTGGGAGCCCAGCCCTACACGGAGTATTTTTTAATCCAGAATCTCATTTCAGCTTTACCACAAGCTGTAAAACAGACATGGCTGTAAAGCAAGAGAAATTGAAACACCAAAATGTTGGGTTCCCTGTCCACTAATCAAGATTTGAACCCGGTAGTCTGGAGCCTGCTCTCCTACTTACTCCTCCAAAACTGCTTCCTGTCAATGTGTTTGCCTTACCCACTGAGAGCAATGTGGTATGGCTGAAAGCACACAGGAAAAAAAATCTGCATTTTCATTCTGGTGTATAATTCTACTTAGTAGCTGTGTGGTCTTGGAGAGGTTGCTTAACTTCTCTGAGGAGTCCGTTTTCCTCTTCTTTCCATTATATGTGCTCTGCGTATCTGCTACACTGTGAGAATCAGAGCAGCTAACATATAGAAAAGCTTTTTGCAAACTGTGAAGGGCTAAACAGACACAGAGCAGCACAGTGGGGGGTGTATCATCTGTCTGAAACTACTTTCGAGGGAATTTATAAGATGTAACTTATCAACTTATCTTCTTTAGCATATGCTGGGGGAAACATTCTAAACCTAGAAACAGTTTAACTGCCTCAAAATATGACCATCTGATATAAGTGTGAAAATAAGGACATGGCTTCCAACTGAAACAGAACAACTTGGTTTTGGAAGTTAAATAAAATACCAGGCTAGTAAATGTTTGAGAGTGAGGGATTCCTTTCATAGTGCCAGTATCTTGTTTTTACATTACAACCTAACCACCGTGGGTATTTTAAGTAAACATGTTCATTTGTGAAGGGGCTAAACACCCACCGTTTCCTCGGGTTGGCAGAGCACATGAAGTTCCTCCAGCCGCTCTCCAGCGTATCCAAAGTCAGCTTGCCTCCAGAATATGTCCTGGGCTGATTCAAGAGTGTCTGTCCTATTTGCAAACAAAAAATTCTGTGACATTTATCTTTTTACTTTTTCTGGACCTTGAATTTTCTTTCTAAAGATTAAGTTGCTAGAAGTCTGTCATGACTTTAATTTTTCGAAGTAAACTATCATAATTTTCAAAAACCTATTCCTCACTACCTGAACTTACCAAAATAACTGATTTACAGGTTTATTCCCCTATAATAAAAATACGCAATGGAAATGTATAAAGTTAGGATCATCTGGAACTGAAGACGATGATCTGCTAATTACTGTATTTTCTTTACCCATTTACCCTGCATGTATTGGAAATATTGATTATATTTAACTCTCTTCTCTGGAATCAAGGGGAAACCATCCATTTATCTTCTTAGCATATGTTGGGGGAAAATGTTTTCTGTTTTCTCCCTCTGGCAGAGGAAATCAGAGATATTCCTGTCCCAGTGGGAGATAGTCAAGTTGAACTTATGTCTGGGTAAGCTAATTTAGTAGCTAAAGGAATTACTATCTAATACCAAAAGAGTCATCAGCATACACTGCAGAGAAAGGAGACTAAGTACGGGGGAGGAGGTATTCCATCTGGAAACTTACCATCCCATGTCGACGTAGGTGCAAACAGGGTAACCAAACCTAAACTCTGGTTTGCAGGATTTCTCATAGCCCCAGCAGTAGTTTAAGTTTTCTAAGTGTTTCTGGAACATAAGAAGTGTATGTTTAGGTGGTCTACTTTCTTCCAACATTTAGAGAGGACTGTTAGATTTTTCCATGAAGAAAACACATATTCCTAGAACTTCCACTTTTACGTATTACACTATGTACTCATGTAACAGAAATAAGTAAGTTCTAAGAGAAGCAGTCTCCAGGTTCTTAATGACAACTGTCCTTAATCACCACTGCCCCTCACCATGTGTGTCCCCCAAACAAAAGCCTGAGCTTTCCCTAGACTACCACTGGCCACTTGAATTGGAATTTCTTGAAGTGCTTTAATGAAACCAGTGAGTAAATTGATTCTATAATCAGTCACTAGTGTCATAAAAATGGGAATTTCTACCACCTAAAGTATTACAGCTAAATTGACTGGATCAGCAACTTTACTCATCAATCCAGATCAGCTGAGACCGCAGAAGATGCCACAGCTCAGCAGCCCTTGGGGGACACACAGCTGCTGCTGGCCAGGTTGCTCAGAACGCTGTTCTGCAAGGCCCCAGGGGCCGAGCCAGTCGGATTCCCAGCTCTGTTCCTCCGCATGCTTCCTGTGCCAGCACTATGGGAAAGGAAAAGTCTCCCAACCCCCAGCTTTGATCTCTGAGGCCTCGTGAGATGTCTTAATGGGCTCCAACTTGAAACCTTTCCAACAACTCTAAAACAAGAGGAAAGCCGCAGTAACACTCTTAATTATGTGGAGACATACGCAGAGGTGTTATTACCGAAATCAAGTGCTAAGAGACCCTCTTAAGTGCAGTTTAAGAAAGAAGAGGTGTGAAATTCTTTAGTTACTTATAACTGCTTATTCTTCTCTGCATCAAATCTAACTTACTTCACTGACAGAGTATACACATACTGTAGGCTGTCTATTTATTTTACTAGTGATTTCAATTTTAAATCTCACTCTTGGGAGCAGGACATAATTCTAAGCAAAGCTGAGTCACTTGGAAGTATTAGATGAAATACAAACATTGATGGACCCACAGTTAAAACCAAGAGCTAGAAGTCTACTTTCACGTTTGAGTTATAAAACAGAACTAGTCATCCGGCCTTAACTGCATCCTTTGAAAAATATACAAGAAGGGTAGAAGTAGTATTTACCTTATAAGGACAATGCGAGTCTTTCCCACAGACCGTGGCAATGTGCCTGTTATTGTGCAAAAAGAAGGGCATGTGCTCTTCAGGCAGGCGGAGGCTGGCATAGTTAAAGAGAGGTGAGCCTGGAATGCCATCGGCCTGGGAAGGAGCCTTGTCTTGGCCACTCAGCGGGACCTTATGAAGCAGCACTCCAAAGACCAGCAGCATTAACATAGCAACCGCCAAACCTAAGGGTCAAGTGGAAAACATCCTCATTAAGACATAGCCTTTAAATGTCAGAGGGGCCAAGGGCTAAGCACAATCACAACGAACTTTGCTACTTCACTGCATAATGGTCCTGTAGTCAACAGACATTGACTGTGCACCCCTTCTATGCCAGGCATGGCGTTAGGAGCGGGGAGACAGGTGTAAACAAAACAGGAGAGACCCCTGTCCTCATGGAGCTTCCCACCTAGCGCAATAGACAAGTAATCAGATGAATAAACGACTTCAGATGATGACAAGGGCTGTGAATCAAATAAACCAGGGGCCGGCAAAACCTTTTCTGGAAAGGGCCAAGTAGTAAAATTTTTTTGGCTTCGTAGGCCAACAATCTCTGTGGCAACAACTCAACAGAGCCTTTGTCAGGAAAGCAGCCATAGCTATGCTAGAGGAATGCAGTGGCTGCATCCTAGGAAAACTTTATTGACAAAGATGGGGGGGGCAGACATTGATAGGATACCTGAATAAGTAAAGTAATAGACAGACAACACAGTGTGCCGGTTAAGCATATGGACTTTGAAGTGAGACCACCGAAGACTGAACCTCGCTGCAGCTTCCTAAACTCTATGACCTAGAGCAAGTTATTTTACCTTTCTGTGCCTCAGCCTTTCCATCTGTAAAATGGAAGTCAGAAGAAACTTTCCTCATAGGGCTGTTGTGAGTTAAATATTGGTAAGGTGTCCAGATGTACCTGGCACATTAAATGCTATGTTCAATGTTCATTAAATAAAACTTTAAAGCCATGTGGGAGGGGGTGCGGGGTGCTACGTAACGTTAGACCTAAGGTCTGCATGATGAGGAGCAAGGAAGACATGCCAGGGAGAGGGAAGAAAGGAAGTGCAATGGTTTCAAGCAAGTGTGTACCTGTTGAATCAAAACTAACAATCACGACAGCTTGTGAGACTATACCATGGGCCAGGTACTCTGCTAAGTACAAGACGCAGCAAGGAACATGCAGTCAGAACCCAAACTCTGAGCCCTTGTGAAGCTTACCTTCTAGTGGGTATAATAACAGTCTATGACAGTAACAACTAAGGCTAAGAAAACACCAGGAGTGAAATCCAGGGAGTCTGCCTCCAAGGCTGTGCCCTTAAACACTCCCAGCCCTGCCTTAGTATCATGAACGGAGGTAATGGTCACAAGCCTTACTGCATTTCTATCTATTTCTAACTCACCCCAGGAGGATTAAATCTCTTAGACCAGATTTTGCTTATATTTCATAGATACTAATTATGCCATTTGGGGTTCACTTTAGTGGTTTCTTTGCTCTATTTTTTTTAAAGTGCTTTTTTGAGCAGATGAGAGAGCCCTAGTTCACATTAGCTGCTCCCCATTAGGGTCTGCTGTCACTGGGACACACTGGAAAACCTAACATTCAGTATCAACGTTCATTGACTCTGGGCAATGAAGATGGGACCCTTTACTATATTCAATCAGGCTTCAAGTTCCGAGGCCAAGGGAATCATAACTGAACAGTGGGGAGACCAGGAAGAAACCCCTTTCCCCTCTGGAGTAAATAAAGTGGTTCTTTCAGGTGGCTCTGAAGAGAATATTGTTACCTGTTGTAAAGGTGATCTCAATTAATATTTTTATTTGGGACTTTGACCCAATGGTGAGTTGATAGCAATTTCACAAAATTTAAAAATACATACTAATAGAAACAGTGACTCCACCTATAATGAAAATATTTACCTCCTTAATCCTCAGAACCTCCCCAGAAGCTGTTGTTATGTTTCAGGCCTCCAAAACCTGTCAGAAATGAAACATATTACCTTAAAAGGACGCCAAGGTAGACTTTCACATCCAGGTGATATTTTGAATTAAAGGACATATTAAGAGAGAAGATAAATTTAATGAGATAACCTGTAAGCAGGGAGCTTGGCATTTAGTGAGATAAGCCCTAAGCAGAAGGCCTGGCTCACTTACCCTTTCTTTGGCTTAAGGCTGCAGGTACCACACTCAACACAGTAACTTAATAGACCAGAGTTTAACAGGGAACAGGAAGGAGATGGTCCACTTTATACAGGCACCAGCTGGTACAGGCCAACAGGACACTCAGCAGATAAAACATTCCTGGGAGCAATCTGCCTGGTTCTCACCCTAGTAATCGGACTCATTGAATCACACAGCTCCGCAGGCCTTACTACAACCCAAGCCTTCAGGTCCACCCAGCAGAATGGCCGGTCCTTTGGCGCATCCCTCCCATTAGTAAGGTCATTGCTATGACCAAGTTCTGATCTTTGGTTATCCAAGTCCACTGCCCTCGGCTGAGGTCTAACCATAACTAAACCCACTGATCCATGGAGACGGAATAACGCTTAGGTCAAAGGGAAAATCTAAAGACTCAGATCAGAAACCTGGCTTTTGCAGAGGGCACGTATCCACTTGTATAAACTAGAAGGCGGTGACTGCTGGTGCATGAAACCACAACCCCAGGGCCTGGCAGAGAGCCTTTCGGGTGTAGAGTCCTCTTGGAAAGACAGCCCCCAGGGATGGGCGGGCGCACTTCTCCAGCGGATGGAAGCTTTCACGGCTGAGCTACTTTTTCCTTCAGCACAAAACAGCTGGCTCCCTCCGCTTCCCTTGACTGGATTGCCACAGGCCTAAGAAGGGGAAGGAAAAAGGAAAAAGCCTGAAAGATGATGAGAGGTGAAACCTCGGCTGATAGGGCCACAGTGGGAGAGATGGGGCGACGCTCAGTGACAGAGCTTGGGAAAGTTTAAAGAAGGTGGTGGACAGATGAAAAGTTAAACGCATCTGAGACCCTTCTAAACGACTCGCCCCAACTAGTGCTATAAGTCTCACGGTCGGTACAAGGCAGGGGGTGAATAAGGGCCTGGCTGCCTGAGATGCCCAGGTGAGGTCCACCAGCTGTCCGCTAGAACGTCAGCGGAACCAGGGCGGCAGGGTCAGCGGCGAGCGCCTTTCCGCGGCCACGCTGCCGCGCTGGGGTTCCGGGCGCGGAGATCCCCGGGGTCCGCCCGCCACCCTGCACCGCACCCCCTCCCGGCGCCAGGGTCGCCCGCGCTCCTGGGAGGGGTCTGGAGAGCCGCTCCGCCCCGGCCTGGGAAACCCGGTCAAGGTGGCGCAGGCTGGGGACCCCGCATCCCGCCCCGCGCCCCGCCGGCGCCCGGGAGTCCTGCGCGCCTCTGCAGGCACCGTGAAGGGGCCGGGCGCCCGCGGCCAGGGGCGGCTTCCGCACGCCCGCCTCCTCGGCCCGCCGCGATGGGAAGGCGCAGGCG